AAGCGTACGTCTCACTGTTTCTGGCCCGAGGCCGTGTCATGGCTCGCTGTTGCTCAGTTCCGCCAACAGCGTCAAGAGTATACCAGTCGAGATGGCACCCGGCCAGAGGACGAGCTCCGTTGGACCACTTGGACCGTGAATCCTTTGATCTTTTGAAATCTTGGTTGGCGCTTCGCAGGTCGCGTTCGAACTGGGCCGGAGATTCGATTGAAGCGGCCATGGTGTCTAGGTTGACGGAGCACGGTACGTCGAGAAGGTAGATGAGGAAGAAGTATCGATATTCGTAATAGGTAAGCAGTCGTCAAACCGCTTTCCGATTTGGGTGAAGGTAACGTTTGCCTAGCTGGAGAGAGCCTCGAATATGGAGTAGGTGTCGAAAGACTTTGGGGAAGGGGCTAGGGGACAAGTAGATATAGTCGATGTGAGGGCAAGTGAAGGAGCAGTGAGCGCTTCGGTGACTGGCTCGGGGGAGGTGGCTACCTAGCACTAGTAGACTGAGGCCAAAGGAAGGAGGAGGGTCCGGGCAGTAGGAGGCAGGTTGGATGAGGTAATCACACCAAGGCGGACGGAAGTGGCCGGGTGAGTCACCGGACAAAGCTGAAGGGCTGAGTTGCCGAGGATGATAACAAGGATTCGAGACGGAAGGTAGCGTCGAGATCGAGTTCTGGGCGGACGCAGGTAATGTCGAATAAGGTACACATAGAGTGGGGTGAGCATACAGATACAGATTCGTAGCAAGGTAGAACCAGGTTCGTGTTGGAGTTGTCAGGAAACAGATGAAGAGGTAGAGAAAGACAGAATTCACATGGACAAAGGTCGCGGGATGACGGATATGATATAGTTGGCAACGGTTAGTAAGGCGCCTTCCATTGAGGTAAGGCAAGGAAGACAGATAAGGCAATGGGAGGTAAGGTAGGTTGGACGAGCCACAGTGCGCATGGTTCAGAGAGGATGGGGGAGGCGCGCGTGTCCCAACTTTTGGATCTGGAGACTGGAGCCAAGCTTGCCAGGCTGAGTTCCAACTTCAGATGAGACGGAAAGGGCGTGACGGAGTGGGTTGGTCGCGATGCAGGCACACCGCACGCCTGGGCTGTAAAGGCAGGACCTGGCGCGAGCAAGATGATGTAGGTAATGCGAGATGAGTGTCAGACGCGCTGGTGGTGGCCTCTTGACCGGGAAGGGGGCTCATCGTCTCGGCTTAGCGAACAGACGGGCGATAAAGCTGGATGATAGTGCACTTGATACGTTGATAAGGTAGGTACGGTCCATGATAAAGCTCGGGGCGTGTGGATGCGATGGATGGAGGGGGAGGGGGGTGTACCTTAAGGCAAGGTAACGTGGAACCTGTTGATGAATGGCCTACGGATAGGTACGGATAAGGTATGACGAATCGCGAATTCCATTGTTTGGGACTGCAAGTCTGCGAGTGCTGCAGAATGCAGAATGTGCGGAGTCAAAAGCAGATAATACTTCCCCCCGTCCCTGCTGCACTTTCCTCTGCTTTTGGGCCGAAACCCATGGCTCCTCCCAATCAGAGGGAATCCGGAAGGGGCGTGGCGTGGGGAGGACACTGCGACAGTCATCCGGCGTTGCAGACTGACTGGTGGACTGGAAAGAGTCACCCGGTCTCGCCATCCCCCCCCCCCCCCCAAAAAAAAGAAGCCGGCTGCTACCGCTAGCTGTCTCGGGGTTCCTCGATAGAGAAAGGCCTTGTCCTGTCCTGTCCGCGCCTACCTACCTTACTTTTACTGGTTGATGTCATTCAATGCATGCGGCGTGCTCGCAAAATGACGACAAATGCCGTATTCAACTTGCAACATGCACACTGTGACACCCGGGGTACGCTGGGTAAGGTCCTCCTCATCCTTCACGAATCCCCCCATCATCAGCTAACCAACTAACGTAGCCTGCCCGTGCCTGCCTTTCGAAGGGCTATGTGCCTGGCATTGGCGATTTACTATTGGGTGAAGTTGGCCATCTTGCCGCTGGAGGGCTGCCAACTCAGCTCGGTTGTGGTTGCTCAGGTCATATGGCCTCCCTCACTGGCACCCTCCTTCTCCATTGACTAGCTTAGGTAAGTACGTAGGCAAGTGCTATTACGACAGTAACCACCTTTTCCCTCCACCTCAGTCCGAGTAGGTAGCTACTCGGGTAGATTTCGCAGGTTTTCTGCCGTGGAAGGGCCAACACTGTCCCCATACCTTGAGAGCCTTGGGCGTGACTATTGCCTTTGATTGTTTTGCCGGGAAATGATATCACCGGGTCAGGAGGACGTCATGGTCGATTTGATACGGGCTGGAGTTGTCATCGGCCTGTTCAAAATTGTCCAACTGCAAATGCCTACGAGAAATCTAGGCTGGAGATTTTTGACATGCTCATTATCAGAAAATGCAGTTAAGAGATTTGAATCGCAAGGTGCTAGAGACTCGCTTTTGCAGTATCTGCTTGTTACTCCCACATCCCAGAACAGATTGCGCATGCGCATGGGTGATTACCTCACCCTCTCAAGTCGATGTTGTTTTCTATAACTCCCGTAATCCATCCCGAGTCTATCTGTTTGTTTATGGCAAACATCCGTAGACCCGTGGACCGGTGGACTGGGCGGGACCCTCGTGAATGCCTCGGACGCCACGACACCTGCTCCTCCGCCCGGCTTGTGCTCGGGCTTAGTCAGAAGACTTGGCGCTCAGCGCACGAGCCAGTCGACATTTCACCGCAATGCCCGGGACGGGCTCGACCTCCACTTCGATACCTACTACCTGTGGACGCTGCTGCGGCCTGCCAACTGCTCACGGGCCCATGCCATGAAACCTCGACACTTGCAAACTCTCTCGCATTGATCGTCCACCGGCTTGGCAACCATCACGAATGTGGTGGCATCTGAACAATTAGAAAGACCACACCAGATAGCAGAATGCAAAGGACGAAACCCTCCGTCATTGCCAGCATCTAGACCGTGCCTGCCAAGATGTGCGACTTCTCCACTTGCAGTGAGTGATTAGTAGCATAATGTAATATAACTCATCAAGTTCTTCAATAGCTGGGACTTTCTCTCGTGTCCTACTCTCCGGCTCCCTTTCTCTCCGTCGCCGACGGGCTATGTTTGGGTCCGGGAATTCCCCGTTCTAGCTGCATGATTCAGGTCGGGATGGCTTGACATAACCTTATTCCCCGCCGTGCCTGACTTCAGCATACGATACGGAGGCCAGGTCGAGGACAACACGATACCAGAGGGCGATGGGGATGCGCGACGTCTGAGCAGTCAGTTCACTGCCATCTTCCATGTATTTGAATTGAGGTCAACGCCCACGATGGATCGTGCTACCGGGGTGGCCGGTGAACTATCGGTTGTGGCCCTTCAGACCTCAGTGCGCGCATCTCAAGGCCATCCTTAAATCATTTACGAATACAGCATCGAGCAATATGCAGAGCACAGCCAATCCCCACGATCCTACCCGTCACTCTAAAATCACAGAGACCCGTTGTATCCGTCTTTCTGAACGACGACATGCAGTTACTACACGGGCGCTGCTGGCCGACTGCTCCCTTTCATGGCCGAGACTTTTGCATCACAGCTCAACGAACTTGATCAAGCACGAGCCGAACCCCGTTGTCTCGATATTATTGACTGCTTTTGTTCGGCCAGCGTATCTCAAAGTAAAAAGGTTCTGACTCCTAAATTGCTCAAGGTACTGCCAAGTACGCCCTCGAGCTAGCGCTCTGTCCTTCCCGCTTCCAGTCTATTTTTTGTCTTCGTTTCGGGGCAAATCATGACCTAGTGTGGCAAAGATCCACGCTAACCACACTTGCGAGATGCATGGCAAATGAAGGAGCGTAGGAGTCGTCGGATATTTTTGCTGCTGGAGATCTTTCTTCTCGCGGATACGAGGACAAAGAAGAGCACGACAGAAGGCTACAACGGTAACTTTGCAGATGTCCATTACCTAGTAGGTTGCATTATCAACTGATTTGCGACCACTCGCCTATCCGCTCGACCCACCAGGGCACCTATGGGCTCGTCTACCGAAGAACTCAAGGAGCGCCTCAACTCTATACACCACGCGAGTACTACCCAGACGCCGGTTATGGCTAGAAGGAAGCTACCAAGATGGTAAATAGAGCCCCATTCTTTCTTGTTATGTTTCGAACTGTCTTGTTTCGAATCTTCTTGGCCCACCGTCTGCTGGTTTAGTGGCTTCTTTCACCCTTGTTCACACCTCTACCAGCTATACCTGGCCCGGCGATTCTTTTATCTCATCTGAACGTCAATTAGCTGACCGATGTCAAGCTCGAAACAAACAAAGGAGCGGCTGTATCTTCAACCGCATCATCCGCCCATGTCTTTCAATCCTAACGGTTACACAGGGCGGTTTTTAAATTCTGTCTCGACGATGAACGCCACTCCCATGCGTTCGGGCGCTGGTAGGCACAATGCCTCGTCCCGACGATGCTCGGTCGAGTGTCGTCTTTCCTTGGCCTCGGTTCATCTCCACAACCTCATTCCACCTGAGAACTGAAGGCTCTGCTATGCCTTTGCTAGCGAGGCTGACTTAGTGTGTTCTTGGCCCTCCAAGTGGCAGGTTGAGCTTCCATGCTTTGTCCATCGCACAAGGTCCCTGAGTTGCTCGTCCGGTAGTGGCTCCACATAGGATGCATCGCCGTCCGAGCCACTGACCAGCCGCTCACTCTGCGAACCCAGGATGTGTTGTTGGGTGATGCGGTAGCTTCTCAGGTATACACTCCCGGCTAGTTTCTTGACATCCACAAGCGCGTGGTCGAACAAACCTCCTCGGCGCCACCATCTAGGTGGATTTTGAGGGAGGTGCTATAATGGCGTGGTCAAGTTGTATATATGTCTCTCACGAGTCTCTTCCTTCAATCCGGATTCTCTCTTGTCTCTGTCCTCATCACTTTAGTTTATCTCCAAGTCTTTACATCTCTTTTTGCTTGAGAGTCATTATTTTATAAACGACATAGCGGACGGGCTGAGCATCGCCACCATGTCTCCTGCTAGCAAATTCCTCGGGCTCTTCAGCCTTGTAGCAACTGCTCAGGCAGCATGCTCTAACTTCATAATAGACGACTTTTCAAGATCATCCGTTGGCGGAGTTAACAAGCTCAATTCGTGGACCAGTGACGACGGTTCCATGTCAAAGATCGCCATCACCAACGGAGCACTCACCTTCACTCCCAAAGCCGATACCACTTCATACTTCTACGAGACTCTGGGGTGCGTCAAAGCAACTACCCAGGGCTACAAGGCCCTGTCGCTGTCGATCACGGGGCCCAAAGACGCTTCCATGTTGTTGGAAATCCAGTCAAGAACATCATGTAGCGACAACACATACAAGAGCCAATGGGTCACCATCTCGGGCCTCACTGGCTCACAGCAAACGGTTACCATCTCTCTATCTTCATTCACGGAGGCAAACCTTGACGCCATCACCGGATTCGTCTGGTCCACATACTCTCAATTCTCCTCGTATTCATTCGACAACTTGCAATTCCTGTGCAATGATGCTACCAGTCCATCTACTCCAGCAACACCAATTTCAAGCAGCTCTCAGTCCAGCCCCATTCTTTCGGGCGCTACAACTCGCACTTCGATATCGTCTACATCCGGAAGTGCACGAGCTGCAAGCACGGTGTCGAGTACTGCCTCCTCCTCTTTCTCGACGTCAGCCAGGCCATCAGGCGCCTCTCAGAGTGCTACCTCGTCCGCGGCAAACTCCCGGGCCAGCAGTACATCTTCGGTAGCTTCAAGTGTTCGCTCATCATCCCCGTCCATATCTTCTGTCAGGATGTCAGCTACCTCCAGCTCCGCCACTTCCCAGTTGTCACCTGCTTCGTCGAGCTGCAGCAATCTTCTCATCGACGATTGGGAGTCCCAGTCACGGCTGACTTTCCTCTTCTATAATGCCATGCTTCAGCCAAGCAGCGATGACGGTACCATGAAGAGCATCGCTGTGAGCGGTAACAGGGTAACATTATCACCAAACAACAAGGACTCTTACTTCTACAGCAAGACTGCCTGCACAAATGCCAAGACGCAGACTTATGGTGGTATCTCTCTGCGCATCAAGGCCACCAAGGGTACGACGTTCCAAGTCCAGATGGCATCGCCGGCGATATGTGGCGGTGATGATACAGTCTTTGGCTTTCAGTCCACGGCTGATCTCGGATGGACATTCGACGGCACCGAAAAGCTGTACAGCTTTCCCTTCTCCAAGTTTCCTACCATCGACCAGTCCAAGATATCCTCCATTTTGTTCGGCTCACTCTCAGGGGCTGTGACTTTTGGTCCCATGGCCTTCTACTGCGGAAGCACACCCTCTGAGTATATCGTCAAGACTCAGCCGTCCGTTTCTGCTACAGCTTCGACTGTCCCTGCGCCCAGCGCCACAGTTCCGGCCAAGGTCATCGATAACTTTGCAAGCCAGAGCCAAAACGCCCTTGGATTCTGGCATGGAGGTGATGTCGACACTGCAGCGAAGTGGACCAAGGGAAAGGTTGTTATCAAGGCACCAGACGCCGACTACTCTTACTACACGCAATTCGGAGATGGCTGCACTGACATGACCATGTACGATGGCTCTTACTTGCACGTTGCATACTCGGGAAGCAATAAGTTCACCATTGCGATGCAGCAGCATAACACACAATGCAGCGATACTGTAGCACCTTTCCCCGAGACCTGGGATTCATTGGAGGCGGCTCGCTATGCCACTGGCAACGACATCTACATTCCCATTTCCCACTTCAACATCGTACGCAAGCGTGCTGTTGGCCTGGCTTTCAAAGGCTTCTACACCAATGAGGCGGTCACTTTGACCAAAGTTGAAATCGTTTCGTCTGTTCCCGCCAATACGCTTATCCCAAACAAGCTGCCCAGCGGTAACCTGGTCTTTGCTTGCAAGCGACCCAATTCGATTGCCTTTGCTATCGATGATGGTGACCCAAAGTACGCCCAGGAGGTTATGGAGGTCATCAGATCGGAGAACATCAAGGTCACCTTCTTTACCGTCGGTGCTCCGTTGAGAGACCCCTCTACGAATCTGAGCACCATTTATCAGGACATGATGAAGGAAGGCCACCAAATGGCCCTTCATAGCTACACCCACCCTAGAATGGAGGGGCTCCCCAACAACGACGCTATCATGTGGGAGTATAGCCAGGACATTGCCGCTGTTAAGGAGCAGTTCGGCATCACGACCAAGTACTTCCGCCCTCCTTTCGGTAACGAGGGCGCTCGTATGAGACAGCAGCTGGTTGCGGCGACGCAAAGCAACAGCCCCTACATTGTGAACTGGAACATCGATGTCGAGGATTGGCTCTACGCCCAGTCCGACACTCCCGAACAGCAGAAGGTGTCTTTCAAGCGCGACCTGGACAAGGGCGGCAGTCTCGTTGTCATGCACTACTTGTATCCCAGTACTGTCAGCTATTTGAGGGACTTCATCAAGATGGCCAAGGCCACGGGAAAGCAGCTCATGCGGGTAGATCAGTGTATGGAGGACCCCGATGCGCCTCCGTTGTAATTGATAGGATGGGATGTTCACTGTATGATAATTGAAATAGCTATATATGGGATGAGATGGAGACATATAGAGATTCAGGCAGGCAACTTTTTAATTCATATGATTCGAAGACATTCTACCGTTTTCGCATTCTCACTTTCTCTCGTAATTATAACTTACCTTTTCGGGTACGTAAAATCACTAGGTGCAAAACGGGTAGCAGTGGGCATATACGAAAGTTCTATACTATAGGTATCCTCAAATATAAAAATATAAGATGCTTGTAATATTTCCGCCTAGTTATAGCGGGCGAATATTTTTATTCCAAGTTAACTTAAAATAAATCTCTTAAGAAGGATTAGGTATTAACTTAAGCTAGTAAATAATTTTTTTAATAATTTTAATTAAATTATTTATTTATTTTAAAGTTTTATTTTTATTAATAATTCGGGCGGTTTTTAACTTTATTTATTTATTTTTATATTCTACTTTTATTAACTACTCGGGCGATTCTTAATATCAATTATATAGTATTAATATATAATATTAATAAATACTCTTACTATCTTAATAAAAAAAATTTTTTAAAATTTCTATTTTTTTAACTTTCCCTCTTATAAAGTTTATAACTACGGATTATAGTCTATTAAGACAGTGTGAGTATTTACTAATACTATATATTAATACTATATAATCGATATTAAGAACTGCCCGAGTAGCTAGTAAAGGTAGAAAATATAAATAAATAACTACGGATATTTAACTTAATATTATTTATATAAAGTTAATATCTTTTTAGGGCCCGGTCTGCTTTATTAAGGGCTATTTTCGCTTTTATAAATAAGCTAGTTTATTAAGGTTAATATTAAGTATCTTTATTACGTACTTTAATAAAACTTTATAACTAACTATAATTAGCTATAATTATTATTAAATACTAATAATCCCGTTATAATATATTAATTACCCCCCCTAACAGAGTAATTTACCGGGGCCGTACTATATATTACGTATTAAAGAAAACTAAGTATATTACGCTCTATATTTAATTACTAATTAAAACTCCTAACCTTTCCCTACGTAAAGTTCTTTAAGTTTTAACTATTTAAAAAGTAAGTTATATTTATTTTAATATATATAAGACCTCTTAGTATTAGCCTATATAAGTAGTTAGATCTTATATTATATACTCTTTTTTATTAAAAATTAAAGGGCCCCTTATATATTCCCTTATATTTATAATATAACTTATATTAAAGGGATTTTTAGTTCTATAAAATATAATTTCTAAACTAATATTAATATATTAAATCTTAATATCTATATTAGCCCGGCTATTTATAATATTTATATTATTACTTAGCTAAATTCTATATTATTAAAAAGTACTTTACTAATCCTCGGGCGTACTTACGTTAGTTATAATAGTTATAGCGTTAAGCTAGCTAAGGGTACTTAGCCCGAGAGGGGTAGACTTATTAATAAGCATCTTTAGGTTCTCGTTAAAGTAATAGTAGTTTATATATTAATAGGTTTATTTAGTAAATTTATTTAGTAAATTTATTTAGTTTAAATAGAGCTTTAAGTAATATTAAAAGCGATAAAAATAAAAAGAATCTTTATAAGCTTTAGTATAAGTAGTAAATATTAGCCTATTTAGCCCTTTTTTTTAAAAACCTCTACGTTATTATTAAAATTTAAAACTTCTATAATTAAGGGCCGTTTTTAACTATTATAGCCGACTATTATAGCTAATTATTATAGCCGACCTCTATTATTAACATTTTTAACTAGTACTATTATAAAGTAGCTTACTTATCCTAAATTATATAACGGTTTTTATATTAAAATTATTATATTACGTTAAGCGCGTACTTAGGGTATATTATACGTATTATATAGTTAAAAAGTATACCGTATTATATAATTTCCTTTAAAAGCGTAATCCTATTAAGGTCGATCTTTTGCGCTTATAAAGCCGGAAAAAAACCACTATATATATTAATTATTTTCTAAGTAGCTAAAAACTACTCCCTATTTTTTACCTTATTTAATAACTTTAAAATATCCCTTTTAATCCTTTTTATTCTACTTTTATATTACGTTTTAAAAATATTAATAAAATTTTAAAATTAACTAAGTATTTTAAAGCTATTATATTATATAAGCTAAGTATTAATTGAAATAATAACTATATTAATATACCTCTTTTTAGTTTTTAAGTTAATAATATTTAATTTATATTTTTTAAAACGATCGTATTATAGTTCGGGGTTTTTTAATATAATATTTATAAGATTAAATTTCTAGTTATTAAAGAAGTCCTAGGGGTTAATATAGCGGTTTTTTTCTACCTTTATAAATATAAAAAATCGACCTTAATAAGATTACGCTTTTAAAGGAAATTATATAATATAATATACTTTTTAATTATATAATATACGTAATATATCCTAAGTACGCGCTTAATATAATATAATAATTTTAATATAAAAACCGCTATTTAATTCGGGATAAGTAAGCTACCTTATTACTTATTAATAATAGGCTAAGTAATATACTTATATAGTAGCGCTAGTTAAAAAGGTTAATAATAAAGGTTAGCTATAATAGTTAGCTATAATAATTAGTTATAATAGTTAGTTATAATAGTTAGAAGTAGCATTTTTAAATTATAAAAGTTCTAAACTTTAATAGTAACGTAAAAGTTTTTAAAAAAAGGGCTAAATAGGCTAATATTTATTACTTTTTTATTATACTAAAGCTCGTAAAATTTCTTTTTATTCTTATTACTTTTAATATTACCTAAAGCTAATCTCTATTTAAACTAAATAAATTTATTAAATAAATCTATTAAATAAATTTACTAAATAAATTTATTAAATAAACTTATTAATATATAAACTACTACTTTAACGAGAACCTATTTTAAAAATACTTATTAATAAGTCTACCCCTCTCGGGCTAAGTACCCTTAGTTAGCTTAATATTATAATTATTATAGTTAATATAAGTATGCCCGAGGAGTAGCGAAGTACTTTTTAATAATATAAAATTTAGTTAGGTAATATTATAAGCGCTATAAATAACTAGGTTAATATAAATATTAAAATTTAATATATTAATATTAGTTTAGTTATAATAGTTATAATAAATAAGCTAGAAGTATATAAAATTAAAATAATAAACTAATACTTTAAATAGCTCTTATAAAACCCCCTAAGTAATAATAATATTTAAATAAAAAAAGATTATATTAAACCTAGCTATTTATATAAGCTAGTATTAAGAAGTCCTATATATTTGTTTTATTATTCTACTTTTACTAGCTACTTAGGCAATTCTCGATATTAGTTATATAGTATTAATATATAGTATTAGTAAATACTTATACTATCTCGTTAGACTATTTTTCCGATTTTCTTTTACTTTTTAAACTTTCCCTCTTATAAAGTTTATAAATACGGATTAACGGCGAGAAGTCCTATATATATTAAAATAAATAAAGCTTATTTTATAAATAAGTAGTAAAAAGTTAGGAGCTATTAATAAAAAGGAGATAATAGTTAAGTTAGTTAACTATTTTAGTTAGTAATTAGGTATAGAACGTATTATACTTAGTTTTCCTTAATACGTAATATATAGTACGGCCCTGGCAGATTGCTTTATTAGGGGGCTAGGGGTTAATAATAACTAAGTATCTTAGTATTTTAATAATATATATTTAAAAATAAGTAAATAATTTAATAATAACAATAATAATAAAGTAATAATAATAAATAGTAAGGGAAGTGTTTTTTAATTTTAATAAAAAAACGAGGTAACGAATATATATATATATGCGAGTTAAAGTTAAGAGTACTAAGGTAAATATCGTACTTATAGAAGTTAATATTATTTATAATAATAATAACGAGGGTATTTTTAATATTATTATTATAAACTATAGTTATTTAAAAGAGTAAAGAACTTAGCTAAGTACGCGGGCTTATAAAGTAATAGCGTTAAGTATTTAATATTATTATTAATAATTTATAATTATAAACTTTATAAGAGGGAAAGTTAAAAAGGTAATAAACCTAAAAAAATAGTTTATTAAAATAGTAAGAGTATTTATTAATATTATATATTAATATTATAGATTAATATTATATATTAATATTATAGATTAATATTATATATTAATATTATATTTAATTTTATATTTAATTTTATATATTAATATTATATTTAATTTTATATTCTGCCTTTACTAATTACTCGGGCAGTTCTTAATATCGATTATATAGTATTAGTATATAGTATTAATAAATGCTCTTACTATTTTAATAAACTAAATTTCTTTTTTTAGATTTTCTAACTTTTTAACTTTCCCTCTTATAAAGTTTATAACTACGGATTATTAACGGTGATATTAAGTATATAACGCTATTATTTTATAAGCCGCTTACTTAGCTAAGTTTACTATTTTCTAAGTAATAGTAGTTTATAATAATATAGTATTAGAGATACCCTCGTTACTATTATTAAGAATAATACTAACCTTATTAATATACGCTTTTGACTTTAATTCGTATATATATATTTATTTTTATATTTTACTTTTACTAACTACTCGGACGGTTTTTAATATTAGTTATATAATATTAATACACGGTATTAATAAATATTTATACTATTTTAATAGACTATTTATTTTTAAATTTCCTTCTTCTTTTTTATTTTTCCCTCTTATAAAGTTTATAACTACGGATTATTAATAATAATATTAAATACCCGACGCTACTACTTTATAAGCCTACGTACTTAGCTAAGTTAGCTACCTTTTTAAGTATAATAGCTTATAATAATAATATTAAAGATGCCTTTAAAATCGTTATTAAATAATATTAACCTCTATAAGTATAATATTTACTTTAATACTTTTAATTTTAACTTATATATATATATATATATAATAGTTTTTTTTCTGGCTTTATAAGCGTAAAAGATCGACCTTAACGGGATTACGCTTTTAAAGG